CAGCGTTGAACAGAAATAATTTTAGGTAGACAAACAAAACTAGAAAACACACAAAAACAACTCTAGCAGCGCTCGTGCCGCGTGGTGATGCCGCCGCTCATGCAACAGGGAGTGATTCATCATAAACTCTGAGCATGTTCTCTCCTGGATTATGACGCCAAAGTAAGAGCAGAAAATATTACCTGAGATTCCCCCAACTCCACGTTACAGAGCGGAGGGAGCGTGTTTAAAAAGGTAGGCATTTAAGCTCTTTAGAGTCTTCCTTTATGGAGAAAAGCAACGTCATGTTCTCCTAAATTCTCAAAGACAACGAGTGTTTTCCCGCTTCATGATTCTCTGAGACCGGAAAAGATTTTGAGCATTTAGAGATTTAAATTGATTCATTTCATTCCATTAATATCCACGATATGTAGTTGTATTTTACCTTTATTTTATAATTGTCTCACTGAGCAGTTTCGTCATTTAATCTGACGTTATGTCACGCCTCTCTGAGCTCAGTTACATGAACTCACTTTAACATATTGCTGCGACACATGTTCGATATGTGCAGTCTGAAACCTAAATAATGTTCACGCAGTTTCTTTAACTATTTTTCTCAAAGTAAACTAACGATATGGTTAGGAGATTTTAAAAGACATTGAAATGGGTTCATTGTTTATATTAAAGCCAACCACATTCTTTAATGTAAAGTAATACTTTGTAGCTTGTGAAGACTTTCATATCTTTAATATGTCTGCTAAATACATTTTGTATAATATTTATATCGTCTATTAACATCAAACTCAAGGTAAAGTCATTGAGCCAATCAGTTGTATTTAAAACTATAAAGTTGGAAAGCGAAGGCCTTGCACTTTTTATTTGTTCGTCATGGAGGCCCAGAATATAAATTAGTGCTGGAAAGGCCCACGCAATGTTAACGTCTCACTCTCAGCCATCAAAAGATAAAAATAACATTTCATTTTCGGCTAATCTTTTGAGGTTCAATTCAAAGGCCCTTCATCATGAAATATCTGGTTATGAATATGAAAAAGCGTATGCTCTGAGTGTAAAACAATACGTGCTGTTTGGAGTGGGGGCTTTTTAAAATCCCTAACTACAAGACGATAAAGTGCGTCTTAATTGATGATCTAATTAAATCCGCTGTTAATTAACGTCTTAATTAAATTGAATCCAATTAACTGCATGATTAATCAGGTCGGAAGTGAATTCATCCAGCATGTGAATCTGGAACATTTGTGTGTGTCAGAGAGAGCCTCCATATGTTCTGACGGAGGACGCCTCTCTCTGCCGCGCGCACCTGAGCCACCATTTATTTTGGAACATCCAACATTGCCAACGCTCTGCATGTTATGATATAGAAAGCAGAAGTGTTGCCTATCTTTCTCTTTAATTTTTCGATTTTTATCTTGTCAGATTGGCTCAACAAAATCAAAAAATGTACTTCTCGGCAACATTTATTTTTCCACGCGCACTAAAATGCAATTAAATATGTGTCATGTATTGGCTGCTACATTGTATTATCATGTCACCAAAAGCTTAAACATATCCTTATCATCTAGAAGGCTTTATTTCATCCTGGAAAAGTGTTCAACCTCTTGGCTTATATCTTGTGATCGCTTTCAAGAATGCAACCTGATGCCTTAATCTTGCATAGGCTGTAAAAAAAACAGATTTAAGAGAATAAACAGCATTTACAGATTGACCCATTTAGGTTGAATTCAGCGCGTTCATGTGAAATCATTAGCTTATGCACTGTTTTTTGCCTCCCTTTTAAATTGAACACAAGTTTTCATGAAATGTGTTTTGGTGAACTCACTGGCAGCGCAAACTCAGCAGACATGCTAATATATTATCATGAACACATGTGTATTATATTACAGTTAGAATCAGAATAGCTTTTCACTTAATTAAGGAGTTTGTATTGGTGTTAGGTGCATATAGAAATATCAAGAGGAAATATAAAATAACTAGAATAGTCAGAAACATACATTTAGAATAGAAAACAAAATGTATGACTAAGAAACATCTAGAAGAAAAAGACTTTCACGCAGATACGAAAAAAGGTTACAATGAGTCTATTTTGAATCTAGCAAAACTATTGATGGTGATTTTCAAAAGTTCACAGACCAAGAAAACAAGAATAAAGGCCATTGATAACTTAGTAATGGGATTCAATACAACTTTATTTAAATGTATTTTAAAACGTCATAGACCTAGTCCTACGTTGAAATGCCACAGGTTAGCGTTAAGGAGGAGAGCACGCGACTTCTTTTGAACGGCTCATAATGTTGGATAAAAAGAACAAAATGTGTGTTATGAAGTTTTAATTAGTTTGCTGTTAATATTGCCGTGTTTTCTGAATGCCCAGTACAAAGTTGTTACTATGTATAATGTGTACTTTACTTTATAATATGTATACTTTTTTAAAACTACGAAGCAAAAGAGATAGTATACTATAAACGACTGAGAACAGCAGACTAACATTTATAACAGCAAATGCAGCCCTAACTCAAAACTATCCATGTCTTCTTATTGATACAAATGTTAAATAAAATAAAACATTATTATTATAACTATTCTCTTGATGGTGGGCTCGGTCTCTGCAGTGCAGCAGTCTCTGATACAGCGGCTCAATGAAACTTTTATTTTGTCATCAGTGTGTTCAACAGAACTCCTTTATGTCACTTGTACTGGTCAAATTGGGCTCCCCGCCGCGGTTTTGTGTGGCAGCTTTTTTAACGAGCCGCAACTAACGAGGCAACGACACCAAAATCCCGCAGACACACAAAGCATGCCGGGTATTTACCGAGCAGAGCCGCGGCTCCGTCCCCGGCCCTTTGTCTCCTTTCACAGGCAGAGAGAGAGCCGAGAGAGAGCAGGGACAAGGTGTGTGTGTGTGTGTGTGTGTGTGTGTGTGTGTGTGTGTGTGTGTGTGTGTGTGTGTGTGTGTGTGTGTGTGTGTGTGTGTGTGTGTGTGTGGTGTGTGTGTGGTGTGTGTGTGTGTGTGTGTGTGTGTGTGTGTGTGTGTGTGTGTGTGTGTGTGTGTGTGTGTGTGTGTGTGTGTGTGTGTGTGTGTGTGTGTGTGTGTGTTCATTATGCAGGTTGTTAATGACAAGAGCTTCAGAGCGCTTTGAAGCCTTTATTGGTCCGTTTTTTTGAAGGCAGGATAAAAAAGGCTTTGGTTTGAGTATTGAGATGAAGAATAGTGAATGTCACATGCTTGTACTTTCTTCATGCATTGATGACAACACACGTTTAACTGGTCATTCTGGTAGGCCATTATCCTCACACTGAGAGGCACTTTTTTCTAGGGATAATGGAGTTTCTAATAACTTGTAAGATACATTTAACAAATAACACGTACATGATGTTTTGTTTCTTCTTCTCTTTTTGTGATTTGTTTTGTTATTTGCTTTTCTTTAATATACTCAATCATTTTAACCCCTCCCATTTTGTTATGTCTGCCTTAGTTGTAACCATACAATTTCTTAAAATGCAAATAATACAATAATCTGCATTGTGACTAAATGTGTGATATTATGTTATAGTTACCAATACAAATACAATAAAAAATCAGATGATCTATTTTTTAATTTGTGCTTATCGAACTGCTCAGAAAAATTCAGAATGAATCGAATAAATAACACAGTTTTAAATAACTTTTAATATAAAACATACAGACAAAAATACGAAATGTATTTTCTTCAGTTCTTTTTTTTCTTCTTCAATTTATATCAGGCCATTCTAACTTTTTTCCAAGAGTATTCTTTTTTTTTTGTATTGAAAATGTTAATTCTTACAAAGTAAAGGTTTGAACCATCAACAAACATACAGTACACTACGAGAAACATAACAGCTTTCTGTTGATTTGGTGTAAATAAGAAACCCATATTTGGGGACCAGGGTTATAAGGTTTGTATTAATGATTATAATGTAGGCCCTGTTTTACTGCCTGTAATTCTTCCTTGGCATTTACAGCGATGAGAGTATTTTTTTAAGCACATTATGAGTTTCATTAATAACTTTGAGAGAGATGGAAAAGGAGCATTTTTAACGTCAGTCCGATTGGCTCTGTTCTAAAGGAACATATTTAATCTCCTGCTGACGTACGTTTTCTCACCGTAAGAAAACAGCCTCTTCTCGTCGTTATCATTTTATTATTCGTAAAAACATTGGATGTTTTCTTACTTTTGGGCCCAGAGATAACTAGGATAGATGAAGTCACATTTCACTTCTAATTTCTATAGTTTATATTTTCATATACAAGTCATACACCCCCTTATGTTCCTATAGTGTGCGACAGCCGTCCCCCTAATCCCACACTGTCTTTGAGCTCACTATTTCAGTTCATCATCAGTATGCAAGGTTCCAGGAGACCCTTTCAAAAATAAAATGATATGTTCTAACACATTGTTGAAGAGCTTGCGTATATTTACAAGGGCGTCACTTTGTTTTGAAAAGTGTAGGGGACATAATGGCTCAAAATAAAACAGAAACATCTTTTCTAAACAGTCTTTGACATGCAATTAAGAATAGGTGAATTGAAAAATGGTGAATCAAAAAGCCAAGGGTTCTACAGATTTCACAATACTGTTATTTGCAGAAGATATGGTCATCCATATATGCCTCATTAGAACAGACGTAGTTGATGACATTGGCTCATTTAATAATCAGTGCGAGAGGTTTTTTTTCCTTTTTTAATTTATGCTATTTTGTGTATTGTAGAAAGTCCACAAAAAACAGTTCCATCAGAGTATGACTTGGCATTCAGTCATTCTGTCTGCATTTTTATTTCACCTAAACATTTGATAAAGGTTGCAATATTTCCTGAAAAACATTGAAGAAAATATTTGTTCCTCTTTCTCAATAAAGTAGATGAGACAAGATGAGACAATCTGTTCATTGTCTACATGGCTCTGCACATGCTAACAGTATCATATTTCTTCTTTCTCTGTACAGATTTCAGAAGTCAGACCAGCTGGGAGACCGGTGTGGCCTCCATGATGCAAAACAGTGGGTTACATCTCAAAAATATGTGTTCTCTCTATGATACTGTATCCATAGTTATAAGTGTGGTTGATCATTGTATCTAACATCATTTTAAAAACAAAAACAGTTACAATAGCACAATTAAATTCTGGCAGCTGCGTTTCTTTTTTGGTGCTCAAATATCTGTTAAAATATACAATTCCCCTGTGTTCTATCATGGGTCTTCAAGTTCCTATATCAAATGAAAGTTATAATCCGTATTATATGACAAAAAGGAATCAAACGAAAACAGACTTTGAAATATGTGATATCTGTTGTAAGATATTAAGTGCAGGTCTTCTATCAATAACTTATTTTGTAGTCATGTGTGACTAAAATGTTTGTTTGATAAGATCTGAGTTGTATATTATTGTAAATGATGAATAGTAAAGTCAAAAAGCTGGCCTGTACTACTCTTTGTGACAATGACCTCCACCTGATCTCTTCTTTCTTACTGCGGGACAAGAGGTCCATGCTGTCTGCAGTGAAGGTGTGTGGATTTCTTCTCTCTGTGTGTCTGCTTGTTTCTTTGTGTTGCATCTTTCCTCTGCCCGCTGTCAATCCCACAATGCACTGCTTCTACACCTCGCATTAATGGATGCTGCTGCTTGACATAACATTTAGCAGGTTTCTGTTAGACAGGCTGGGTGCTATTATCACACCGCCTCCACTTTAATCAATTCTAATTCCAAATTGTGAAAATGGAGCAGCTGGAGGTCATTGAGGAGTATCTGAAGGTGAACACCAATATTCATCTGCTAAGATTATTAGTGAGTGAAGCTCAGGTTACATTAGTAATTGATCTGAATCAACGTGTGTTCAGTCGTCAGTGAGGTCCATGACTTTCTGTTCAGCGTCTCATCTCACTCTGATTGATGTGTGTGTGTGCCAGGGTGCTGTAGTTCAAATGAGTTTACATTTCAACTATGCACTCAGTGAGCAAGGATGTTGCAACTGCAGGTGTTGTGTTCATGAGTTCAGAAGAAGTTTTTTCGACTTCATGATTAAAGGAGATGTGTTGTATTTCAGTTGATACCGTTTTTTTTTAAATGTTTCAAGTCAAGAACACATTTGTGTTATTGTTCAGACATCAAATGAATGCCCTGTCCAGCATGTGTATCCACATTTTTATTTTGGATCCGCTCCCTCGGCTGACAGACAAACAAATAAAACCAAACCTTGAACATTCCTTTCTTGGCAAAGGTTATCCATCTTAGAACGATTTCAACACTCAGAGATCACGTGAAGGTTTTTTCCCCCAAAACGTTTACAACCAAGCAGCCCGAAGCAGTTCAGTTATCACATGACATAACAATAAAGGCGGAGAGCGTAGACCTCACTAAAGCTGGTCTGACCCAGACACCAGCACAAGCCTGTCTTCTTAATCCCACAACTGCCCGCACTGTGTGCATTTGATTTTCTCCCGCCATAGCTTTACTGATATTCCTGTTTTGGTAAAGCGGCAGATGACAGAAAGACGCCACGGTAGCTCTAGAAATCAATGTTTTGTGTTTGTGAAGAGCACGTCACGCTTTTCCTTTTTGTCTATTGATTGACGAAACACAAAGTTGTCTACTGAGAAGAGGGCTGAATAACTGGATGAAATTACAATAATACGTGATCTTTGGTAGATTATGTTTCTGCCGAATTTCAGTAGATGCTTGGACAGACTAAGAAAAGAAGATGAATCAATTTGATCGTTACATTTGGTCAGTAAGAAGAGACGTTTGCTATTTGTATGTGTTTTGAATGGTGTTGAATACAGCCAGCAGTTAGAGCGGGTCTCTGTGTCACAAAGACCAGGGATAAACACTCTGGTCAGATTCTGGGATACCTGGCTATCCATTCATGCTGCCTGACCTTTCCTCATTTCAAGCCTCTATGTATGTGATGCCTGTATATCAAGAGTTCATTCAACCTTTTTTCAGCATCTATGTAACATTAGTTATCCATCGAGCAAAAACATTGAAATGCAGTTACAGTAAAGCTTGAGTTTGTCGGGCCAAAAGTCACAGAGCTAATCTGTAGCCCCAAATAACGAAGTGACAAACAGTCAAAGTGACTTGAACGCAGAGTCAGGGTAAGGGTTAGGGTTAGGACTTCCTTTGCAAATGCATACAAATGCCTCATAAGGTTAACCTTGCTAGTTAACGTACTACAGTTATTATGATGGGAGCCCAGCGACATGGGAACATAGGGGTCAGGGTAGATTTGTCAACATAACATCAGACTTGGGAACCCTAACCCTAACATGGGAGTGTAGGTTTTACTATGTCCAAAATCTTTTCAGAACACTTACTGCGTGTTTATTATTGTAACAATGACTAAGAAGCTTCGCTAAAATAATGAAGTTAAAATATTACCAAACCACCATTTCCTAAACCTAAGCAAATTAGTTTGGTGGCAAACCAAATAGACAAAGAAAACCGCAACAGGCATACACAAACGATGTGAGATCAGAAACAAGATCACATCATATGGTGTAGACCGAGGACAAACATCGTATTTTATCGCTTCATTTGAAGAACTCATTGAAAATAACAGTACATGGTTTAAAGTGGAAGTTAATTGAAGTCAGGTTCAGTGTGAATGAGCTGATTTAAAGTGAAAGCTGTTGAGCTGGTCCCAGGGGCCCGTGTGTGTGTGTGTGTGTGTGTGTGTGTGTGTGTGTGTGTGTGTGTGTGTGTGTGTGTGTGTGTGTGTGTGTGTGTGTGTGTGTGTGTGTGGTGTGTGTGTGTGTGTGTGTGTGTGTGTGTGTGTGTGTGTGTGTGTGTGTGTGTGTGTGTGTGTGTGTGTGTGTGTGTGTGTGTGTCACAGAGGGACCACTGCCAAATTGCCTCCATATGTCTGTCTATTAATTGTGTGTCAGCAGAGGAAAGCCCCGTGTGTTCCTCTGGGAAATGACGCTGTGATTAACATTTCTACGGCGGAGCAAACGACCCCTGAACACAACATGAAGGGAGGTAGCGTGAGGGGAGAGAAATAATCCACCGTCTCAAAGACAACTGCTGTTTCTACAGGGGCGTGACTCTTTTTATAATTTCAATAAGTACTCAGAAGTAATACTTTATATAAAAACAGCCATTCTAAATTAAATACTATGTTCTATACCAAAAAATACTATGTTACAAGTAAAAGTCCTGTATGGAACATTGTAACTAAGTAAAAGTACACTTTGTATCACAATATACTAAAAGTACTTGTTAAGCGTAAGGGCGCAGTTCATAATCAAATATATGAAATAAGTAAATGATGATCATGGATGGATTCATGTGTTCATCACTACTGATAAAGGTGAAGCTAATCTTTGTTTATTGCTGCTGGATATCTTAACCTACAATTACAGTATATTTCCATGTGTCAGATACATGTAATGGAGTAATAAGTACAATATTGGATACAAATGTAGTGGGGTACAAGTATAAAGTATCTTAAAATAATAACACTCAGACAAATCCCTCAATATTGTACTCAGGTTCAATATTTGAGAAATGTACTCTTGCTTGTTGAAATGTTCACACATACAGATGGTGTTCAGGTTGTATAGCTGACTGTTTATATACTTTGATATACATTTCTCAAAATGATGGTAAATGGTAATGTTGCTGTATGTTGACGATGTTTCTTAAATTGTTTGGCTTTTATTTATTTGCTTTTTTTATGTGCTCTATATGTTGTGAGAGTGGATGAGATGTTTCCTTTATTTGCTTCAAGTCACATTTGTACATAAGGAACACTATGATAGCCTTAAATCCTAATTAAAGATGTACATGTAAGATCCTACAACAACTGTCTGAGAGACACACAATATTGAAAGTATTCAAAGGCTTTACTTTGCAAATGCACAATAGCTACAGCATAGTTTGGCACAAAACAATATATTGAACATGTTGTATATCAGGGACCTATATTGTAGTTATTGGATCTGTGGTCTGCTCTGAGTGTCTACAGTGAAACCCCTTTACTTCTTACACTGTGTGTGTGTGTGTGTGTGTGTGTGTGTGTGTGTGTGTGTGTGTGTGTGTGTGTGTGTGTGTGTGTGTGTGTGTGTGTGTGTGTGTGTGTGTGTGTGTGTGTGTGTTTCGGTATGTGTCCGTGTGCCTGTGTTGGCACGTTGTATGATTTATTAATGTCCTGTTGAGAGGTTTATAAATCTGCAATATGCTTTGCCTCACAGAGCCATTAACAGACAATAGACAATTGATTCAGTGTAAATCCCTACTTAACCTGCACAGTGTCACAGCACACATTGCTGCTGCTGTTCACTGAGTGTCAGACCTGCAACACGTGGAGCAGCAGACAGAGCATTGAAGCTCCACATGAACACATTCAGAAGTCTGCAGCTTCCTCCTTCACTCTTTCAACAGTGTTTGTCTCAATCCCTTTTAAAGATGGAATGACAATATGTTCATTTAAAGGGGCCCTTTATGCTTTTGGGGTTTTCCATTTCCTGTAGTGTGTTACGTACAGGGGCATCGCCTGGACCTGAAAACATGCGGGGCTTAGCCCACAGTGGCGGCGGCACTACAGTGGCATTTTTCACTGCAACACTCCCCACATGCACACACACAGTACACCCACGACTGTTACAATGAAGGCTCGATAATAAGCTCACGGCATATAGGCAGGGGTAAAGTGGTATTTTTTATGAGTGGGGGGCTCACCTCCTCTAGGGGGGTCCGGGGGGATGCTCCCCCGGGAAGATTTCTTTTTAAATATTGAAGTTAAATGCATCAATCTGGTGCACTTTGAGAGCAAAATGAAGAGATCTATGGATACCTCTCTCAACACCCATATGAAGCAGAACTGTAAACAGATGTACTTTTTCTTTATGGATATTTTACTAATCACTCCCCTTTTAAACTCTATTCTTGTTTTACTGCCATATAGTATTTCATAACTGTTTTTCCTTTATTCTCTTTTTTTTATATCTATAATGATCTATGAAGGTGTGCCGCGGAAATAATCTTTTGAATAATTTGTGACCAAACCGTTTGAGACCCACTGAGATAACTAAAGTTATGTATCTAAACACTCAGAGAGTCCTTTAGCTCACCTGAGTCTCTCAGTCTGAGAGGAGAGGACTCTCCTCCAGCTTCTTGTGGAACAAACAGCTCCTTATGTCCGTTAGTGCAGCTAGCTCTCTCTCTCTCTATCACACTAAATGCGCTATTGCCACACACACAGAGCCGAGCTTGAATGACACAAGCACACGTTTATTTCCATGCAACTCTCTGATTGGTCTGGTGTCATGCCTCTGTTGCATTCACTGAACACGGGAAATTACAGTGCTGCCGTCCTCTCTTGTGTCATGATGAGGTTCACGTAAAGCACGGTTAATGTATTATATTATTGAGGGAGAATTGTCCGGGGCTACAGAAAAAACATTCGGGGCTAAAGCCCCGGATGCCCAGGCCAGGCGACGCCACTGGTTACGTATATATAGGTTTTTGGGCATGTCAATGGTCTGCAAGGCTCAAATCTGGAGTGTTCCCTCCAGAGGGAGTTTCTCTTCCACACACTCCCTGGTTTCAGACAGAGGGTGAAAAGAGGTGCTGCAGCACAGGCAGTATGAGAACAATACAAAGCTTTTTGAACATTAAAGCATGGAGACATGTCACAGGAGAGGGAACAAATACAAATATGAACCTGAAAATGAGCAGAATAGGGCCCTTTAAATCCACATGTGTTAGTCCTGAAGATTTCTGACCTAAATCTGGTCTTTCAGGTCACTTTTCCTTCTCTAGAATGAAAGCAAAAGCAAAAAAGAGCAGTGGTGTTAGTCTATGAATCTTTTGGATGTATTTGTTTGTTATAGGATGTAGGCTGTATTGTTACTTAACAGTAATATCTACTGTTCAGATCATCTTTGTTTCTCATAGTACAGTATTCTGTATGTAAAATATATGTATGTTTTAGGGCTTACAAAGAAGGTGACGATTCACTTTTATAAAACCCCAAGGGTAAATTCAGTGTTCCACATTGTATACAGTACACAGTACAAAGACACACTGATGCACAGGACCCATACACATAAGCATATGCACAAACACATGCATCTTTATAGAAATACATAAGCAATAAGATGTGACGTGTGACATCAGCATGGGTCAGTCCATCAAAGGGAGCGGGCAAATTGCATCAAAGCATCATTCAACATTGTTGTAAAAACAATTACGCTTCTCTATATCTCGTCTTCCTCTTCTCTTGTATGTGTTTGATCAGTTGATGTAGTAAGACTTCAATTTTCATTACCACTCCATTCTGCTGCTTTCATTTTTTTTTTTACATTTTTTATTCCAGAGTAAACTATCTAGCTTGGTAAGAAAATAGTTGAAAACCTTTTTTTTTACTTTCTCTTTGTGTGTGTGCATGTGTGTGTGTGTGTGTGTGTGTAGGTCACAGTGGAGTAAACCAGCTGGGCGGTGTGTTTGTGAATGGGAGGCCTTTACCTGATACTACCAGGCAGAAGATAGTGGAGCTGGCACACAGTGGAGCTCGACCCTGTGACATATCCAGAATACTGCAGGTAACTTCATCTTTATTAGCGGTACTTACAGTGGTATCAGAGAGTCCTGATGAAGCCCCTGATGCTGAGTTCATAATATTCATTTATGGGACATGATACAGACAGTGGCTATTCTAGACCGATTTTACTCGAGGGGGCGTGATGGGGCACATTTAATGTGGGACAAAAGACACAAGATTCTGTTCAAGGATTGTGTTTAATTCAGTATTAAGTCATAGCCTACAAAAAAACATAAAATACCATTATTGGTGTTGCAAATGTAGTCAATGACTTAGTTACAATTGTATTTGATTATATTACTGAAGAAAAACAACCAAGCACAGTCTTTGATGCATCACAATCAGAAATTCTATTATCATCATTTTTTATTTTAGATGGGGGCCCCAGGGGGGTCCAAGTTCAGTGTTACGGAGGTACAGAGCCCTAACTGTAAGCTTTATCAAAAAGTATTTCATGGAAAAACTGACAAGCTCTAGTGGCCGTGTGAATTATGACAACCGTCATAGCAAACAATTAACATTACAGTACATTACATGTCACTTGTTAGACGCTTTTATCCAAAGCGACTTACATACTCAATACTGTGGACAATCCCCACAGGAGCAATTTGGGGTGAAGTGTCTCAGGGACACAACGACATGCTGACTGCAGTGGGGTTTGAACCTGTGACCCCCTGATCCCAACACCAACGCACAACCCACTGCACCACACGCCTCCCACACCTCCCTCTAACAGAGAAGAAAGTGGTACGATGTTAAAATACCCAGCATGCCTTGTAGCGAGTCAGTCGGGCCTATGATTGGGTTGACAAAGCAGCTAACTTTTTGATTTAATAGCTACTGAATTTATATATTTTCTTCCATCCTGCACTCTTTTGTTAAAACCTGGCACCTATTACCCATAATGCATGCAGACTACCAACAGTTTGGATTGAAGTGTGTTATGCTAATGTGGCCTTGAGTGTTTATCCTGCAGCAAAGATGATCATCACAGCTATTTTCAAACACTGACACAAATCACTAGAGGCTACTCATCAGATTTGAACAGCTCTCTCTGGAGAAATTCAACGTTTTTACAGCTTGTTTTCAACATATGCAGTATCTTTCCCCAACACCTGAATGCACTGAGAAGATGGTGGAGGTCCACTTTACCAATCGCTGTGATTGTGCCTTAGATCATCTACAAAAAAAAGCTTTTAATTGCAAATATATTTTCACAACATCTGTAAATAACCCATGTGATTTGTGTTGTTTTTGTGTGCAGGTATCTAACGGCTGCGTGAGTAAAATCCTGGGCAGATATTACGAGACAGGTTCCATCCGTCCTCGAGCCATAGGAGGGAGTAAACCCAGGGTGGCCACTCAGGAAGTGGTGGGGAAGATTGCTCACTACAAGAGAGAGTGTCCATCCATCTTCGCCTGGGAGATCAGAGACCGACTGCTGGCAGAGGGAGTCTGCACCAACGACAACATACCCAGTGTAAGACCCTTCTGTTCCTCTGCCATGTCGCTTAGAGGGTGCAAGGAAGTCACAGAGAAGTCTGGACTCATACTGTAAAAACGTGTACATACTGTAATAGATGATGTATTTGTTTCTGTACTCTGTGACAGCTGGCTTGGAGGTGAGTAAGTAGGGCATAGGTGGCACAGCTGGATCAAGCAGATGCAATCTCTACAAGAAATTAAATTGCAAAGAGTCAGACCAAACTGCTATACACTCAAATCTAAATAAAGCAGTTAAGGCAATAAAAAACATACTTTCTAAAATATTTGTACTTTTCCAGTGTAAGACACATGATGCAATTGTTGTATCCATGTACCAATAATTGGATATTGACTTAAAAAACTAAAGAAAAGGCAAAAATAGACCTGTAATCCTTTATCAAATACTGTTGGTTGCTACAAAAGTACAAATGTTATTTGCAGATTTATAATGTAACTTGGAAGCTTTCACAAATAAATAACAACAATCTTTGTAAGTATATTTGCACATCTAAAGCAGGAACGTAAGAAACAATGCTAGCTGGATACGTTTAGTAATGTTCCCATGAGTACACTACATTGAAACAAAAAACGTTATTAAACATGTGTACAGTATTATGGATTGTGTTTTTGAGTGTATAATAGCCAGTTGAGAGGATTCTCTAATTAGAGCTTTCAGGAAGCTGCTATATTTCTATATTTCGCTACAATGTGTTACCATACCAATGAAGTTTGGTGGCAAAATATTTTCAGCCAATATGATTTTAAACCAAACCTCAGTAGAATACATGGGCACTTTAGTAATGTACTCTACCTTGTCCATTTGTTGGCCAATCTTTTAACCCTACTGGTTAATATTGTAATGTAAAACTGATTATATGACTTTTATATTGTGTTCTCTGTCATTTGGCCCTTCAATAGTGTTTGTTGGGATCAAGTATATCTTATCTTATTATCTTTTAGGGGTCATTAATGCCTTGGTTAGGTTCTTAAGTTTCTATCCAACAATGCTTTACAATTGTTGTTCTCGTTTATTAACATATCTGTGTTTATCTGCAGGTTTCATCAATAAATCGAGTCCTCAGGAACCTCACCAGTGATAAGCCGCAGATGGGCACAGTGGGAGCTGAGGGGATGTTTGACAAACTCAAGATGCTCAATGGACAAACCTCCTGGGGGGGGCGCTCAGGGTGGTACGCTGGGACTACACTCACTACTCCTGGTAAGACACTAAGTCACCTACTACTTCTACGACTAACAATACTACTACAGTATTGGAACTACACTCACTGCCACCAGACACTGTTACCCTCTTTCCATTGAGGCGTTTCCAGGGCAGCTGCGCCAACTGCCCCAAAGATTGGTTTCAGTCCAGCACCATCTATTTGCTCAGCCAGAACTGTGAACAGAGAGCAGCATAAGTCAGATGCTGGGGCGGAGCAAAAACAGCACATGGCGAGAGTAGAAAGTCGTTGCGGAAGCCGTAGCGCCAAGATCTCTAAGTCGTTAAAGTGCAATCACACATCATACATGTTTCATTACATGTTATTTAGCTGAGGCTTTCATCCAAAGCGAATTACATACACTTTCATACCAAGAAATGTGGGCTTAGGTATCTTGCCTCATACTTTGAATTACAACCTGTTTGCTGTCATTGTGGTGAATTATTGTTTTTTAATGTTGTTATTAATTATTTAGACTGGCTTCTGGGGCTAGGTTAACGTACTCCATGTAATATGAGAGAAAATGTAGATTATACAAATCTTTTATTTAAAGCGCCATGTTGCCAAACATTGTCAATTCAAACTAAAAAGAGAAATTAAGAAGAGTATCAATCTAGTTTTGAATAGCAACATGAGTGCAGCTCCAACATGGTTGTATTTGTGAAGGATATTCACACTGGTGTCATAAACAGTGACATCAGGACTCCTCTTAGGCTCTGGTCAGTGGAAAGCAAACTGGTTCTTAAGTGATTTGCAGGTTGAACCAACTATGAACAAAACTAGACTCAGCACACAACTAAAACGGAACTCATTCCAGTGGAAAAGGGGGATCAGAGGACCTTTCTGACTGAATATGTCGGTCATTTTTAGCCCTCATGACTGAGTTAGACCTAATATTTTCTGTTGAATTTCTCAAGTTAAGATTCTAAGTTATGTTAGACATTGTTTTTTGTAGGTCATGCATTAAATTATATAAATACAGTGTCCCCCACTTTATGTATCAGTGTCACTGTTACTAATTGTTCCTGCTTGTATAGACTTTACATTGAAAAGACATAATAGAGAGACAACAAAATACAACTTTGAGATTTTAATTTAGATTTTTGATTAAATAGTACATTTTCAAAGTTCTGTGAATGCAGTCTTCTTTATTTAAAGTATAAACATTAATCAAGTTTCTGTTGTTACAAAATCTGGCTCTGGTATTAACATTCAAATACTTTGTTGTTGACTTGATCTCAGGTCACATTCATCCTATTGAGCCATGCTTTTAATTATTTCTTCATAAAAAGAATGCAGCAGCCGCAGTAAATTGCCCACTTGCAAATTGATTCAAAATTCCCATTATACGGGACAGAGGACACATTGTGTGGAGCTGACATGAGCAGCTTCCCTCTCCCTCAGTGTGTGTGGCTGAGGCCCCATTTGCTGCGTGGAGGACAGGCTCATATGCTGCTGCTCCTCCTCCAGCACCCTGGGATTACAACAGAGAAACAAAGTCAGGCTATACTACCACGGCTGCTGCCTCCACATCAGTGTGTGTGTGTGTGTGTGGTGTGTGTGTGTGTGTGTGTGTGTGTGTGTGTGTGTGTGTGTGTGTGTGTGTGTGTGTGTGTGTGTGTGTGTGTGTGTGTGTGTGTGTGTGTGTGTGTGTGTGTGTGCGTGTGCGCGTGTGCGTGTGCGTGTGAGAGCAGGGGAGGGAGAGGGGGCGTCTGCTCTCATTTGTGTCTCTTTCTGCCTGACTGACTGTGACACTGAGCAATGGCTTCATTCTGTTTTGCAGTCTCTGTCTGCTGGGGATAATGAATAATTAGGCTAGCACCACAAATAACACGAGTTCCACAGGGAGGGACTGGAGCGCTCGTCTGCTCAGGGATCACATGTTGGAGATCTCCTCTCTGAAGGGCCTGTACCTTCACTTTACCTCACATGAATTGGAATATAACGCATTGTATCGTCTACTGATCAAGGGTGTGTTTTAGTGAAATATCATTTAGTTGGAAATACCTGGATAGCGCTTACGCCTATATGGGGTAAGCGCTTCTTTTGATTGCAGATACGAAGAATTAAAACGTTATGAAGGTGTAATGCTTACAAGAACCTATATTAATATTGTACACATATTATTGTTAAATAGTATACAAAGCAATATCATTTAATATTTTACTTATTTTGTGCATGTAGCACACAGATACAAAAAACGTTATAAAAGTATAATATATCAAAAAGTAAATACAAATAGTTAAATAAAACAGTCTTTGTGTTTTTAATCATTTATCTTAATGTTGTACTCATATTATTTGTATGTATTATACAAAGCAATATATTTTAAACATTTTTAAATTATAAAAATTATACATAGCTTATTTTAATGATGAACAGATTAGCATAAAAAACCTGATAAGTATTGAGGTACACTCTATTTTTAAAATCAAGCATTTTTTAACACATCAATTGGATAACACTGTCATCAAAGCATTTGAACATAAAGAACATTATTCCATACTAATATGAGCATTTTACAACAATATGCGGACAAATGACAGTATGATGCTCAGAGGGGGGGATGTGTTAGGAAAATGTTTTTCTTGAAAAACATAAATGTTAATATCATAAATCTGTGAAACAAACTCACCTGAAGTAACATGAACAACTCATTTCCTTGTCATTAATCAGCCTTAATAACGCTTTTTGAGTGCTATGGTTAGTTCCAAAAACAGACTAGATTTTTCTAAAACATTGTGATTTATATACATGTTTATGTTGTTGGTCAAAACTATATTTACTCCCATACTATACTTAAGATAAGTTTGAGGTTCACCTTCATTTTCTCCATTTTCAACAATACCTTGTACCTTCCTTCCTGTGTGCAGAGTGTCCGCAGGCGGAGGGGGGGGAGAACACCATATCAGGAAGTTCCAACGGTGACGACTCAGAGGAGACTCAGATGAGGCTCCAGCTGAAGAGGAAGCTGCAGAGAAACAGAACGTCTTTCACTCAGGAGCAGATAGAAGCACTGGAGAAAGGTACATGGAAGTTGTTTATCAGAACATCGTACAGCTCCACACACATTAAAACAGTATACGTCTTTTCTGTATATGTCTGAAGTGAGGAACACCTCCACTTTGACTGAACTGAGGCCAGTCAGATTCCAAATGTTCCCATATGACAACTATAGGGATGTTCACATGGTGACATCACTAACCCTGTTCAAACTGTTTCAACTACCGTAAAGGCAATTAGGATATACAATGAATCATGTTTCACCAACTGAATCACTTATTCCTCATTCAAAAACCTGATTTTGGTGCTTAAACTGACAGTTTGGCTAATAAGGGATGGTTGTTGTTGAAGTCTCAATAGACACAATTGCACGTTGCACGTGTTGTGTTACTGTGTTCTACTGCCTAATTAATGTTCATGAAGATTGAATGTATCAAACTACAAGACATGCCTGGTGTTCTGGAAATGGCAAATGTCTCATCCAGTTAAGTTAACCATTTTCTGAAATCTTGAGAGCATTAGGTCAATTTGTCTCATATACCTTCCCTGATTGGACTGGGTGGAGTTGAGTCTATGCCCTGAAACAAATACAGGCATCAGCCATCTGCATAAAGTAAAATGAACATCAACTTTAATACTTTTTAACTATTTGATCTTTTTAATCAAGTATTCTTGCCATGGACGGCATACTGTATATAACATACAGTACAACATTTCATTTTACAAGGTGTTACAGATTTTGGAAAACAATGCTTCATTATAAATACATTACTTTAAATTAGAAACAGCATACTATCCTGTCATGACACAATGTGTTTTTCTTCCAGAGTTTGAAAGGACTCACTATCCAGATGTGTTTGCCCGAGAACGCCTTGCCAACAAAATAGACCTTCCAGAGGCCAGAATACAGGTAAGCTCCATGTAATATGATTTATTTAGGCCTACAAGTCAGTACAGTCAGAATGTCTTAGTGCTTGTGTGTGTTGCAATAATATACGTTTTTATCAAACCCTTTAATTGACCTAACCCCAATCCTTAATAACATTAATATAACCGGTTTGCATATGGCCACATTAGTGTTGTTTAAAAGGTGAAGACATTAAAAGGAAGACATGTGAAGCCCTCTCTTAACCTAATTTCTATCATGGCATGTGCAGGTTTGGTTTTCCAATAGACGAGCGAAGTGGAGAAGAGAGGAGAAACTGAGAAACCAACGTCGCCAGGTGTCCAGCTCCTCCAACCATATCCCCATCAGCAGCAGCTTCAACACCAGTGTTTACCAGCCTATACCACAACCTGCTACACCAGGTACTGTAATACTACTATACAATTGCATACTCTACCACACAAAATGTATTTAAAGCATGTTTCAACAGGCCTTTTTTCACAGAAGACATGTTGTTTGTTTGTTGGGTGGAGCATGGGAGCATTGACGAGAGTATTAAAATATTTCCTCAAGTTTCAAAGAAATAACAAATATTTATAGAAACTTCTCAGACCACTCCTATAGCATCATCTATGTATCTAAAATGCCTCTGTTGCAACAGCTGGCTCACTTTGAGTGCTGTTAGCTGTGTGTTTTGCCATATAAGTTTATTTGTGATTTCCAAACAATGACCAATTATCTCTACTGCGTCCACCAATGTCATAAAGACATTATAATAGCTTGTATGTACGGTTACATCGCCTGGAATATAACAAATCTCATTGTTCTGTTCATTTCTCCATCCTCTCTAGTGTCCTTCTCTTCAGGATCCATGTTGGGAAGGTCGGATTCAGTTCTGTCCAACAGCTACGGCCTACCCACAATGCCCAGCTTCAGTATGGCTGCCAGTCTGCCTATGCAAGTAAGATTACTCGACTAAACAGCAGAACACACAACTAACCAATCACTGCAACACCCATCTGGCTTCAGCTGGGATTAGGGTTAGGGTTAGGGTTGTGCTGATATACATGTGATGGTCAATGTGTTGACACAGTTGCTTTAAACATCTTTGTGGGAATGTTTGTCTTGCATGAACTTGGCTTATCATGATCCTGGTGGTGTTGGGGGGCCTGAGTTCATTTCGACCCGTTAATCGGATTGACTAATTGACCTATCACAACCTATTGAGTCTACAGTATGTGAGTTTACCGCCAAACCTGGATCCACCTGGATCGGCAAGATCTTACTTCTACTCACTTGAGGGAACCTTGTAGGATTCCAGTGTTTACATATAAGGTGCGGCCCTAACCAAGTGTGAGTCTGGCAGCTGTGCAATCTTACCTTATAGCAGCAGAGGAGTTGTGTTCTGATTGGTTCTCCCAATCCAAATGGTTGGGATGTTTTCATTTTGAGATATGGTTCACAGTTTATACAGGCTTTTGTGCTTTGGTCGTTACAATGTGACAATTGTTTCTACCGACCCAATGTCCAAGGAAACATTGGGTGGGTAGAACTGAACTTTGCGGCTTTAACATTATTTTTGACAACCTCAAAAACCTCCATTTCAAAATCAGTTTCTGGACTCAGAGCCTCCAGCAAAACAAACATATACAAACATATATTTAGCAATGAAGTTGAGGCTCATTTAATTTTTGCTATGTCACATGGTTTGGTTACACATTGCATTAGCTAATCAAATACGCAGGAACACACATTTCTGAGGGACTACTTTCTGGATGTTGCACAGGGTATCTACTGATAACCTCAGAATTGTAATAATGGACAAAAAAGCAATTGTGGCAAACACCAGAGTTGATTAATGGTGATTCTACCTCTAACTAGACTCCCGGGTTGTATTTCATGTTCCCATTTGTAGACCTTGGCTCATACCAAAGCCCCCCATACATGTTTACAGTATAAGGTTGTTGTTTTTTGGTCTGAACACTCACTTTATGGATCCAGACAATGTTTGATCATGGATTACGGAAGGGTCTCAGACCACCAACATAATACTGGGAGCTGAACCTTGTGGGACCAAAAAGTATTCACATACATTTTGGAACTTATCGGACATATACAGGATCTGCACATTTAAGCTTGGGTGTATTGGTTTCACCCATCAGTGGGGGGGGGGGTGTCATAAGCTGTCTTTGAATGAAAATGCCTCTTCACACTTATATGGCTTGTTTAAAGTAGCCTTTCCTGTGGGGAAATAAAGTATTACTTAAGCAATTTGAAAGGGAATTGCATGCAATGTAAAATGAACAGCTTCGTTAATTTTCTTACGATAGTTACAAGACTTTAACAACACTGCTAATGTTGCATATGACCAACCCAATGGAGAATGGCTCATCAGGGTGTTACATTCTGGTTTTAATGTTCAAAATGATTTTATGTTTCCAGGCATCCAGCCAGAGCTCTTATTCCTGCATGCTGCCCACCAGCCCAACTTTAAATGGAAGAAGTTATGAGACCTATACTCCTCCACACATGCAGCCTCACATCAACAGCCAGTCAATGACGTCCTCCGCAACATCGTCAACAGGTAGGAAGTAAACTGACTACAGTTGATTCTCCTCAACCCTCCCCTCTTCTATAATACCTTTGATTGATCTCAGTGTCTTCGCAAGTGGGATAATATAATTGTTTAAATGTAAATGCAACATTTGGGGGAAGCTTTGAGAACATTAAAGCGTTATCCGTTAGACTCTTAACATCAACACGTCACCAAATGCACATTAATAACAAAACAGAAAACTGAGAGGCCAACCCAATTGAACAACAACAGTCCATATCACAGCACAATATATCATGTTGTGCAGCATTCCATCAAATGGAAATATTGTTCATTTTCTACAAATAACACAAAACTTGTTGATGTTTGGTATTTTCTGAATTTCCCCTAGTATTTCAAATAGAGTTCTGTCGGTTTGCACAATGCTTAGCTGTACAATTTTCATTAATGAAGATAGAAGGTCCAGGGAGTGCTTTGCAGACAAAAACTAAAACATACTTAGATAAAATAAAAATATACAGAGCTTCTTTTAGGTCTTTCCAACCATCTGCACGTTTTTCTATTTAAATGCCTTGTGTGAATTCTATACATTATGGGTTTGCATACAGGAAAAACACACCATTAGACTTTGTTTTGGTATGTCTGTCAACTCTAATGATCTCTTTGCTCCCTCTCACCAGGTCTGATTTCCCCCGGGGTCTCAGTGCCATTGCAAGTTCCAGGAAATGAAGTGGACATGTCACAGTACTGGCCACGCCTGTAGTGATGTCATTTCTGACAGCAACAGGACTTCTGCAACAGGACTGTATGGGACCTCAAAGCATCCCCTATTCCTATTTTATAGCCTGAATGTGAATGCACCAGTCATTGACAAAAAGAAACTGCACCGCAGGAATGACTCTGATTAGTGTTTGTGCAACAATTCCGGTGACAAGCAGGACAGAATGATGATCAATCTTCCAACTGAAGGATTTCAATATCACCACAAACCAGTACAAGAGGATAAAAGGTCTTTGAGAGTTCTACCCTTGAAGCCCAGAACAGAAAGCTCTGTCCCGAGCTGTTCTCTGGAAGCTCAGGAAGCTGGCCCATCCTCTGGCAACACTAAACTCCAGATAGGAATAAACTGCTGAGTGTCCATGTGGAAAATCTTTGGGAAGACACATTACCTCGACTTTCAGTTCCTGATGTATATCACGTTGGTGTATGTAGCAAAAAAGACATTGACTGAAACATAAAGGGAAGAACTTAATGAAACTTGAAATGAACTCTCTGCTGTGAATTTGTTTCATCAGCTGATTCCAAAAGCTCCGGCCGGGAATGTGTATAGAATTTCAGAATGTGGATTCTGGTGATATGTGTTTGGTATTGTAAAAACTTGACCTGGATGTGATTTGCTAACTAGCATGGACTGACAAACTGACAAAGGTTTAAGGGCAAAAATATCAGTTTGTTTGAATTCCAAAGTTTGTATGTCCAGAAATTCAACAGTTAACAAACCATTGAACGACTGGAGGCCTCAATGCTTGTTTATAAAAAGTGAACATAAGACTGTGTCTGGGATGTAAATCTGTTTCTAATTTGAAAGTGTAAAGTATTTGTCTTCTCCAGTGATCTGGGAAGGTTTCCATAATAAAGTTATTTCAATTATAATCCTTGTTATGTTATATGTATATTGTTTTGGTTATATTAATAGAATGTTTTGTTGAACCATCCTTGGTGAATCTATGATAGAAAACATTGGAGCTGTTCTGGAGGATTGTGGTCAATCTTTTGAAATCCTCTTTATTTTAGTTTACAGAAGATCAGTTCTACTGGGTCATTTAAAGAAGGTGTTGGTGTTAGATACATATGTTTACAACAGAAGTGGCAAGACAAATTATTCTGTATATAATAAGTGGTGCTGGAACTATGAAGCAGTAGTGACTACCTGCAGGCCAGGGAGCCGAAGTGTGTGCCAAGCTAATCAGTATTTAGAGCAAGCTAGCCACAATAACTCCCACTACTGTAGATAGCTCGTTTGCTAGCTACCTAGATTGGGGTACCCTGTTACTACAGTGTTTTAGGAAACACTATTGTTCGTCCTGAACCTGCACAGGATAGAACAGGGTTCCCAGTATGCAGACAACAGAAAGATAAAAAACAAGCTCATAAAGGCAATTTAAGCTTACTCGTATGGCACTACTGCACAGCACAAAAAAGGCCAGTTAGAGGCCATACACATGCAGCGTGTGGACACTCAAAGACACGGGGCACTCGCACTGCCAACCTTTCGGTGGCACTGAGGCAGGTTAAGTCTAACTGGATTGCTCTGAAGGCATCGTTAATGCGTTGGAGGCTGCCTTCTGTGCGGCTACATTGAAAACAATCAAAGGAAGCATACAACACTGTTCCTGTTCACCCACCACCTAAGTAGCAACGACATAGGACCATTTTGAGAACGTCTTAGCTTAAATTTACTTTTGGGATTAGCACCTTCCCATTGGCTCAAAAGTGATGGGTCAAAGTCCATGAAGTTGCACAGTACCCAGTTGGCAGCCACTCTTGCTTTTGGTTATCTTCAAGTTCAAAGTTGGCAGCAATGCACCAACATTACATTACATTACATTACATTACATTACATGACACTTGTTAGACGCTTTTATCCAAAGCGACTTACATACTCAATACTGTGGGCAATCCCCACAGGAGCAATTTGGGGTGAAGTGTCTCAGGGACACAACGACATGCTGACTGCAGTGGGGTTTGAACATGTGACCCCCTGATCCGAACACCAACGCACAACCCACTGCACCACACACCTCCACACACATAAACAATGGTAATATTATGATGCCATGGTGGGCCGAGTCAACGAACGGTGAATTCCTTGTTTCCCCTCAGTAGCACAAAGATCAGTGGTTTGATGGTGCATTCAGGGAGCCAGCATAAACATCAGCATCCTTGGTCAGGTTCAGTTAACCATTACTGAGGTAGTGTGGTTGTCTAACAATCGGAAGGTTGTGGATTTGATCACAGTTCCCTGCAGTCAACATGTCGATGTATCTTTGGACAAGATAATTAACCTTTAGCTGCTCCTGATGGCATGGCCAACATTGTGTGAATTAAAAAATAGTATCCCTTGAGCAGGTGGCACCTTGCATGGTAGCCTCTCTGCCTCTGTTTGAGTGGGTAAGTGCTGACTTGTATATGTTAAAGCACTTTATAAATGCAGTCCATTTACTAGTCACCGTTATTGAGCAAAAAAAGAGCTTATCACGAACGCCATTCTGCCTCGATACACTTCCAGTGGAAAATGCAGAGTTTTATTCAATCAAAAACTATTTTCCCATAAGAAAATATAGCCAGTGACTTCCACTTTTGTAATATATCAATTATGTTGGAACAACACCTATTGCTGTTTTGTTACCCATTTGTAGCCAATGTGTATTTACTACCATCATTTAGGTTTAGTTTCATGAATCAAAAAATGACAGGGATTGTGTGAAGTTAGGGTTGGTCTTTATGAAGCTGGGGATTTAAACTGGTAATGAAGTAGCAAATGGCATTCAGAACACTGCAATATTAGCACAAAAACACACACACACACACGTACACACACTCAGACACACACACACACACACACACACACACACACACACACCACACACACACACACACACACACACACACACACACAAAGGTACACGCCAAATTCATACACTGCGAATTCAGAATTGACACACTTGAATAGGAAAAAGCTATTCATTGGCTCTCTCCTTCTGTTTCATTCATTCACTCAGCCTGTCATTTCTTTCTGTCTTCCAGCGGCCAGCGGGTGGCTGCAAAATGAGAATGGGGTCAACCTCTCCTCATTTACCTAACAAAAGCCTGGAAGAAAGAGAGAGAAAGAGGAGCTGACGGCTGTCACAGAGAGAAAGAGAGAGGGGATCCGAAACAGATGACCTGCAGCTCCACTCTGAAAAGTTTCATTCCATTACATCTCCCACAATCCTCATCATGTCAGCACCTATCAATTACTGTCTGCATCAAACAGCACAATAGGAACTCTAATCATCAAAGAGCATTTAGAGAGTGATCAATGAGGGCGTCCAGCACTGTAACAAGAGGGATGACAAGATCATTAGATCACTCCGGTCATAACAGTGTGTGTGTGTGTGTGTGTGTGTGTGTGTGTGTGTGTGTGTGTGTGTGTGTGTGTGTGTGTGTGTGTGTGTGTGTGTGTGTGTGTGTGTGTGTGTGTGTGTGTGTGTGTGTGTGTGTGTGTGTGTGTCTTACTACACCACACCTTTTCGATATACCCTATTAGATGCAACATTTGCTTTATTTAATGTTTATATGGTCACAGCTATAGAATATAAAATGTAAACATCATTTGATACAGATAAAGAAAGATTAAAATAAATATTCCAGGTAATTGAAGTTTGATTTTAACCCAGTGCCTGAAGAAGCATGTTTCCAGGAATAGTTTTTGCTGCCCCGATGTAAATGTGATGTAGATATTAATAAGATTATATTTATATAATAAAAAATATGTTCAGATTGTAGGTAGGATCTTTAGAAACATCCATTATGTCGTTTATCTTGGGCAGAAAAGCACCTGCATGATTATTTGTTGAGAAATCATTGTGTGTGTGTGTGTGTGTGTGTGTGTGTGTGTGTGTGTGTGTGTGTGTGTGTGTGTGTGTGTGTGTGTGTGAGTCTTCACTCTTGGTCACTACTCTTAGTTAGTCCATTACATTACATTACATTACATTACATGTCACTTGTTAGACGCTTTTATCCAAAGCGACTTACATACTCAATACTGTGGGCAATCCCCACAGGAGCAATTTGGGGTGAAGTGTCTCAGGGACACAACGACATGCTGACTGCAGTGGGGTTTGAACCTGTGACCATCTGATCCCCATACCAAGGCTCTATCCACTGCATAATGTCCATCCATTACTGTAACAAGATTATTTACGTAACAATGTGCAATAATAATATTTACTAATGTCATATACCAATGTTACACTTACCGAATTATCCGGACTATAAGTCGCGTTTTTTTTACCTGTCTGGCTGGTCCTGCGACATAATACTCCGAAGCGACTTATATATTGAATTGTGTCTGACTGCGTTAAAACTCCGGCCAATAGATGGCACTGTATACAATCGTGACAACTGAAAAGTGCTGTACCACCAAAGAAGAAAAAAGTCACGGCAACTGGGAGGATGCGTCACGTAACTTTCCAGGATGTTGTGGGATGGATGGACACAGCATGGGCTTCAGTGCCGACCGACACCATCCTGTCGGGATTCAGAAAGGTCTAATCAGAGCTGATTCTGATTCTTCACAGCGACACAGAGGATGAGACTTCAGTGGATAAATGTGACTTATACACCGAAGCGACTTATATATGTTTTATTTCTCTTAACGACACGTTTTTTGACAACAGCGACGTATACTCAGGTGTGACTTGTAGTCCGGAAAATACGATAGTTTATTTTATAAATACTGCTGCTACTAACCTATCTACCTGAATGTGTACTTCTATAAATTATAATAATTTTTATTTTAGATACTATGTACATACCTTTTATGTAATAGTGTTCTATTTTTTTTGTCTCAAATTTGCTGTAACAATGTGAATTTTCCCCTTTGTGGGACGGATAAAGGATTCTGATTCTCACAGAATATATTTGGACTCAGACTCAAGACCCAAAGCTTTTATCTAGGTTTGTTGGCTGTTCACCATAAACAAAATACTAATCCTCAGA